CATCCATCATCCATCCATCCCTCCCATCCATCATCCATCCATCCCTCCATCCCATCCCATCCCTCCATCCCATCCCTCCATCCCATCCCATCCATCCATCCCTCCATCCATCCCATCCATCCCTCCCTCCCTCCCTTCTCCCGCTCCCCGTATCCCGTTCCCCGTATCCCGTTCCCCATATCCCGCTCCCCGTATCCCATTCCCCGTATCCCGCTCCCCGTGTCCCGTTCCCGGTGTCCCGTGTCCCGTGTCCGGTCCCCCGCGCTGTGCCGCCCCTCACCGGGACACTCCTGGGGGTTACACGCCGCCGTCTCCTCCGCGGGGCTCCCCCCGCACCGCGGCCCCGCCCCGGGGCCCTCCCGGCACTGCCGGTGCCGCCTCCGGGTCCCGCCGCCGCAACTGCGGGAGCAGCGGGACCACGGGGACCAGGGGGACACGGGGGGGGACACGGGGGGGCCGGGAGAGAGGGGGAACAGAGGGGGCTCGGGGGACAGAGGGGACACAGGGGACAGGGAGGACCAGGGGGACACGGGGACCGCGGGGGTCGCGGGCCCCGGGGAGGGACACGCCAGCACCGGGCAGGTCAAGGTCCCGTTCTCGCAGGTGCTGCAGCGGGGGTGACACAGCGGGGGTGACACGCGTGTCACCGTCCCCGCACGCGGGGCTCTGCTGGGTGACACCGCCACGGTGCCCGTCCCTCTGTGTCCCCATGCCTGTCCTCACTGTCCCCGTGCCCGTCCCTCTGTGTCCCCGTGCCTGTCCTCACTGTCCCCATACCTGTCCCCACTGTCCCCGTGCCCGCCCCCACTGTCCCCGTGCCTGTCCCCACTGTCCCCGTGCCTGTCCCTCTGTGTCCCCGTGCCCGTCCCTCTGTCCCCGTACCCGTCCCCACTGTCCCCGTGCCTGTCCCCACTGTCCCCGTGCCTGTCCCTCTGTGTCCCCGTGCCCATCCCTCTGTCCCCGTACCCGTCCCCACTGTCCCCGTGCCCGTCCCCCCGCCACCCCCGTGTGGCCATGCCCAGTCCCCGTGTCGCCCCCCGTGTCCCCCAGCGCCGCGTCTGTCCCGGTGTGACGGAGCCCCCCGGCCGTGTCCCCTGGGCGGTGTCACCCACCAGTTGTGACACCCGATCCGTGTCGCGGCCCCCGGGGACACCTCGCGGCTCCCGTTGTCCCCGCCGGGGGTCCCGCAGCGACAGCGGCTCAGGGGGACACAGACACCGTCCTGGAGCAGCTGCCCGGGGGGACAGCGGCACCCTGGGGGCGCGGGGGACACCCGTGGGTGTTGGGGACACCGGGGACACCGCGCGGGTGTTGGGGACACCGGGGACACCCCGCAGTGACAGGACAGTACCTGGCTCGCAGGGTCCCTGCAGACACAGCACCTGGCCCCAGGTGTCACCGCAGGTCCGGGGACAGCGCCCGGCGCAGGGACTGGGGGTCCGGCCCCCCCCGCCGCACCGGGGGTCTGGGGGGCACGGGAACCCCTCAGCACCCCCGGGCGGGGGTCGCGGGGCTCGGGGGGGGTCCCGGGGCGGCGCTCGGGGTTACCGGGACACGCGCTGGAGCTGCAGCTCTCGCTCTGGGTCCGGACCCCCGCGCACGCCCGCCCGGGGGTCTCGGGGTTCAGGGGGTGCCGGTGGCGCAGGCGGGACCCCCCCGCGCAGGGGTCTCCGCAGGGTCCCCAGGACCCCCAGGGGCTCCAGTCACACGGCTCTGGGGGGGGCACGGGGGGGGCACCAGGGTCACCGGGACCCTCAGGACCCCCCCTCACCTCCCCCAACTCTCCAGACCACCGGGACCCCCCAATCCCCCCCCGGCCCCCCCATACCGGCCGCACACGGGGTGTCCCAGCACTCGGGTCCCTCGGGGGTGCAGGTGCTGCGGGGGGACACGCTCGCCGTGGGTGGGGGGTCCTGGGACCGCCCCCGGCCCCCCCGGCCCCCCCGGCCCCCCCACTCACCACTGGCGGCACGGCCCGGGGCTCCAGCGCTCGCCCAGCCCCCGCTCGCCCCCCGCCCAGGGGCACACGGGGGGGCACGGGCTCTGCTCGCACCCCCGAACCTGCTCCTGGGGGGGCCCGCACGCTCCCCCCGCGCCCCCGGGGGGGATGGGGGTCCTGGGGGGGTCACACGGGACATCGGGGTGAGCGGCGGGGACCCCGCAGCCCCCCC